CATCGCGGCAGCCAAATACATCGGTGAGGCCGCAAAGACGGCAAACGTCCCGTTGGTCCTGTTCAACACGAGTATGCCGGTGCCGAAGGAATCTCAAGACATCGTAGCCCAGGAAGATCGGAGGGAGATGAGGAGGCTGTTGAGGGAGTCTGTGCCGACCATCAGCATCGAACCTGTGGTTTATCTCGACAATCTCCTCGAAGGCTGGGCTCTACCTCCGATCCGCGACCGCAACACCGTTGTCTACTGCCACAAGCCCGACCTGCGCGTGTCGTGGATCTGCCACCACGATGTCGCGCAGATCATGATGGCCGCTATGCAGCATCCTGAGCTTGCTGGCCGCGATATCCCCATCGGCGGTGCTGAAACCGTTGTTCTTTCTCAGCTAACTGAGAAACTGTCGAGAGCCTGGGACAAGCAGCTGAGTTATGAGAACCAGACTGTTGCGGACTTTTGCGATAAGATTGGCAAGGCGATGCAGGGCAGGGGTCTGGACACGGACACGATTGTTAGTCAGATGTTCAAGGCGTATACGTATTACAATGAGGCGGAAGATGAGCCGTTCAATGTTGATATGAAGCCTGCAATGGACGAACTAGGAGTCAAGCTGACGCCGATTGAGGAGTGGGCTAAGAGGAGGAGTCCGTGGGATGACAAGGGCTACTATTAGACGTAGAACATTGGAAAATTATTACATTTGTTGACGAAGTCGTTATGTCGACACGGTATCAAATAAGAGACTCCAAACTCCACCCATTCCCATCCAACCCCCCAAACTCAGAACAGCCATCTCTCCCCTCACATACCCCCAGGCGGCGCAATCCCCATCATCCCCCCCTCCATCCCATCCTGCGGCATCCCAAACTTGCCAATCCCCTTCCCCCTCCTTTTCTGCACCTCCAGCGCAACCTCATTCGCCTGCCTAAGCATATCCTCACTACTGCTCTTCCCGGGCACGAAAACCAATCCCAGATCCGGCGCCGGGTTTCCTGTTCCCACAAAATTCCCCTCAACGTCTTTGGCGTAATGTGCATTGTAGTAGGAGCGCTTCATTTGCCGGATTATTATTGATTGACGCACTTCGCCTTGTTTGCGCGAGAAGGGGTTGTAGTTGTGGAGGGAGAAGGCGAGGGTGCGGGTTATCATGGGCACGGGGATTGTTTCGTTGGGGTCGCCGGTGGAGAGGGTGGAGAGGGCGTGGGCGACGGTTGTGTAGGTTGGTGGGGGGGATGTGTCTGTGGTGGAGGGGTAGGTTGGGGGTGTGGAGGGGGTGGAGGAGGGTGGGGCGTAGTAGTCGTTTGTTTTGGGGGTTGGGTCTGTCATGTTTGTTGTTGGTGTTGGTGTTGGTTGTAGTGGAGTAGTCGTGGTGTTGACTTAAGTATTCTGTGTTTTCCTGGAGAGTTTGCGACTTATGGACGCAGATAAGACGTGTCTGACAGCTATAACAACACCACCAGGCAATAGCGTCCTCGCTTGGTTATATATCCGGCCATCAATAGTAGAATCATCTTATTCCCACGATCTTCCTCACTGCCTCTAACTAACCACCTCACATGGCTGAGCAACCGAATACGAAGTGCTACCTACATAGCCTCCCGCCAGGGCTGGTAATGGCTAGCTCCTAGCTCGTGCCGAGCTTGACACCACACGATTAGGACTTCAGCCCAGTCGCATAACCTGGATAAATGACCGAGACATGTAAGCAGAATCACCAAACAGGTAAACCATCCTGCTGCTCAGCCTATCGCAGTGCCTCGGTGGCGAGTGCGCAAAGGCGGGGTGGCCGAAAAAGGGTTAGCGTTAGGACCCTTTTTGCAGATCGAATGATGTCATTTTGGAAAACTTTCCGGAGCGAGTGTGGCTTTGGTTGCTTGTATCGTGTAGTGTTATGCTTATCCTGTGTTCAAGAAGGCTGAGGCGATCTAGTCCAACGTGTAGTTGCCATTTGATCATCCCCCGGAATATAAAGATAGAATTAAGATGTCGATCGCAAAATCCGGGGTTATCGCGGCGATGATCAGACAACAAGGACCGAAAGATCAGTCATGTTAGGTCCCTTTACTCTTATCCTTTGCTGGCTTCACCGGTCGAGCTTGCTCAGTGTTGGGAAGCTGTTCATCACTGTGAATTCTAGTATGTTTGGTAATGGAGGTCTGCTGGGACTGTCCTTCCGGCGTGCTCCTCCTTTCCTTCGACCATGAAATGGGGGAATGCGCCGCTGACTCGGCATGAGGCCTGGCCTTGATCCTAGAGAGGTGTATCTCGGTGTACGGAATGAGTGCTATAGCTCCGGCGTTCGGCCTGGGGAACGCCTGTAGTTCCACATGATACTTATACATTATCAGATGACAGTTTGGGATGATTCGTAATTCATTTCATATACTCATAGCATCGCTAGTATTCTGCGATGACCTAGACACTTCAAGCTTATACACCAGCATGCGTCTTCATCTTCAACGTGCTCAGTGCACATACTCCTCCTCATCAACATCCTTCCCACCCTTCTCAAGCATATGCTCCGGAAGCGGACTAGTGAACGGCTTGCGGCTCTCCCTCACAATAGCCGGAATACTCGTACCCTCCGTAAACATCATCTCCAGCTCCTCCAGACTGCGGCCCATAGTCTCCGGGTACCCGAAGTAAACAACCGGCAGAATGATAGCAGAGATAATAAGGAAAACAAGATAGTACTGCCACCCAATAGTCTCAATAGCAACCGGCGTAACCATATTAACAACGAAATTCCAAAGCCAGTGATTAGCCGTAGAAATACCCGCCATAGGCACACGCAGCCTCGTCGGCGCAACTTCCGTGCAGTACAAAAAGTTCGCTCCGAGGAAACCAATCGGGATGAAGAAGTTGAAGAGGAAGACAAAGAGCGCGCTGGCAATCTGGGCCGATTGATTAGTCTTGGGGAAGCTGGATGCGACGGCGAGGGCCAACATGCAGGAGGCCATGCCTGCGCCGCTGAACATGAAGAGCTTGCGGCGCCCGAAGCGGTCGATGGTGAAGAAGGCGACGAAGCAGGAGAGGAACTTCCAGGTTAGCGCGCCGCCGGAGAGGATGCGCGAGGTTTCGCTGTCGAGGCCGAGGCCTTGTTGGAAGATGATCTGTTGAGATGTGTTAGAAATTGGGTTTTATAGCCAGGGGGGACGTGGACTTACGGTTGAGTAGGTGGAGATGAGGTTGCTACCGCACATCTGCTGCAGGAATTGGAGGAAGATGCAGAGGGAGAAGCGGTAGAACAGCTTGTCCTTGCCCATAGTGAAGATGTCGCTCATCTTCGCTGCGCTGCGACCAGTTTCCTCGAGCGCGAGTTCGATGCCGCTGATCTCAGCTGTGATCTCGGGGTCGTGCAGATCCAAGCCCTTGAAGCTGGACAGACTGAGACGAGCCTCCTCCACGCGTCCCTTGTTGACCAGCCAGCGAGGTGATTCAGGGATGCTGAATACGGCGGCCATGGGAATGAGGGAGATAACGGTGGGAATGGCGAGCGGGATACGCCATTGCAGAGGCAGGTTGTCCTGTTCGAAGAATCCAAGGTTGATCCATGCTTCGAGGAGGTAGCCGAGGGAGATAAAGCAACCGTCGAGCACAACGTGCTTACCACGGTTGGCAGACGATGAGCATTCGGATTGCCAGACTGGGACGGTAGCGCTGAGGGCTCCGACTCCCCATCCTAGAATGAAGCGGCCGACGACGAATTGCGCGAGCTGGAAGCTAGTGCATTGTAGGATCTCGCCGACGAGAGTCAGGAATGCGGCACCGAAGATGAGCTTTCGTCGTCCGAGAATGTCGCCGATCCAGGAGCAAGACAGAGCACCGAAGAGAGCGCCAATGGTGAAGGTAGCAACGACGGCACCTTGCTTGGTCGAGTTGCTGCTCTTCTCCGCGCCGGTAGTATCGATGGTGTTGATCTCCGGGAAGTGGTCGTTCCAGTCACGGAGAGACAACAGACCACCCACACCAGACTGGTTGTATCCAAACAGCACGAAAGCTGGCAGAACGACGAGCAACAGCTGTGCCGTCTGCAGAGTCTTTCCGGTGAGTCCCATGGTGAAGATTGACGAAGGGAGGAAGATTCAGAGGGGAGAGGAGGGGACTACAGAAGGAGACGGGATGGACAGCAGCTCAGTACTTGTACTCCAGAAGCGCACCCCACAATATCCTGCAATGTGGGCACACTACTCTGGAGACAAACTCCAGTCAGTGCATTATTGACGGCCTTAGTGCTCCGCCTTTTGGGGGTAAACACCCTGACCCGGAGATACAGGTATAGCCAGCCAGCGAGCTGCACCGGATGCCTCGATTTAGCACCGACCCCATACACCGCAACACTAGCAGGTAACCCTCCACAAACGGCCTCGACTTTGTTGACCGGTCTGCAGTCCGTGCTTGCGGGAATTGACTCGCAGCATGACCGCAAAGCAGGGCGCGTCTGCGTCCGCGGCCATAGTTCGGCGTCGCTCGCCTCAAAGCGAGCGGCTGGGGAGGAAAAATCCTTACGCCCTTGTCGCAGCGCTATCATGACGGTTGAGGCTTCATGTGGGCCGAATTTGTACTGAGGCTCTGCGGCAGGATTTAAGCTTTTCCAAGAAGACGTTAGGTGCTTAAAAACCTTGATACGCGTGCGGCGCGATTGGTTCGCATTACGGCCTCGGTAGTTGTTCTATCTCCACCCTCGCCGTGCGCGCTCCGTAACTTCGGAAGATGGCACGCTGCTCGGGCGAGAGACGCAATTTGCTCAAGGTGCGTGGGTAGTGCGTCGGCCCAGATTTGATGATGAAACGACAGGCGGTTAACCAGGGAATCTGCCTGATTGCTCCACACCCGTGGGGTCGGCTAGAAGACAGCAACAAATCGCCGGTAAGTTTGAAAGTATGTACCTGCGCATGCGGCGAGATAAGACTTTGCGCGAGACGATAGTGTAGCTTGTTATTGCTTGGCCAGACCTCAGTCGATGTCTGACCTGCTGATGGCTTTGCATGAATGCTCAAACTCTAGTACTGCTTGGTGCTCTTGCTAACTCTCATAAGCTGTGAAAGCCCGTCAACGGATTCGGCTCTCTGTGTCCCCGTCTCGGTGTTCGCACTCGAGCTCGTTCCTTCAGGCTCCGCCCCACTTCGTCCCTCCGACGTTTCCGAGTCAGCGTCTGGGGTTTGACCAGCCTCCGGCTTGCCATGTCGGTCTTTGACAGCTTCGGCTGTCTGCTCGGATGTCGCTCGTCCGATCTCCGCCAGATTGGTCGGTATGATGCCATACTCGAAGCGATCGATGACAGCTCGCTCCACTGCGATTCGCGGTTCCTCCACACTAGCTTTGTAATCCTTCAACAGCGCAACTGCCCTCTCGTCGCCCTTCAAGACACACCTGTGGATCAACGTCTCCCACGTCTTCCTTCTAGGCTTCAAGGGGCCCTTTTTGCCAGCTGTCGCGCCCGTTGACCGCATCTCCTCATAGTAGAGCAGAGCATCTTCCAGGTCACCCGATTCTAGGCACACCAGGATCAGACGATCATACGTAATGCGGTCAGGTTTGAGACCCAGCTTGACCATCTCGTTCGCAAAGAACATGGCAAGCTCCTTGCGGGCGGATCTATGGCAGCCTTGAAACAGAATGTTAAACGTTTCTGTGTTCGGGCCAGCATGAGATACCGTGTGCAGGGCTTTGTAAATCTCGATGCCCTCTTCGAGGCGTTTGCTTGCGATGCTGGCTTTGATGCATGCGTTGACGGCAGCGGTGGGAACTTTACGGCCTGAAGTCTCAAAGTCTTGCAGATATCTGAAGGCTTGCATCGGTCTGCTATCATCGCTATGATCTTTTGCGGATAGATACCAGTAGAGAGGATCACAGGTCCCAGAGTTGACCTTCAAGTTCGAATCGACCATGATGAGGATGACAGACAGAGCTGCGTGGAGGTCGTTGGCGTTTAGGTATGTGGATATGAGCAGTTCATAGTGTTGCGAGGTGAACGTTGTACCTCGTTCGGTCAGGACGCGAAAGACATCGGTAGCGAGCTGGATGTCTCCATGTCGTGAGGCGAGAGTGAGTACGTGCAGACAGGTGCCAGTGCCAGGCTTCAGGTAGCCCGGCTGAACTTGCGCAATCCATACGAGGCTCGTCTCTGCGAACTTCACAGTGTTAGCAACTTCCCTTAGAATGCATATGACACAGTCCCACTTACGAGCTGCTTGTGCGCCGCGGCGTCTAGCAAAGCTCCCCAGAGAGCGATGCTGAACTGGACTGTACCTGTTCCGCTACTCTTGCTGTGTACACCCTCCTTGAGACTGAGCACGTAGAATGCTTCCTCGACTTCACCAAACTCCAGCAACATCCATATAGCCTTGTCAAACAGCCAGCTCTCTACGCGTGCTTTGTTCCTGACCATCTCCTCCAGCAACTCGAGTGCGTGTTCGAAATGTCGCTCGCGTAGCATCCCGGCTATGATGAAGTTGCGCGCACGGTCGGATGGCATGAACCATCGCGACTTCATGTATTCGAGGATGTCGGTGCGAAGGAGGTAGTCCGGGTGCACTGCGAGCACCTCAAGCACGCATTCACAGCCCCGTGCATCCAGCAAGATTCTTGGCTTTCCGGTCAGAGATCCATCAGTCTCGTCCCAGAAGCCCATCTCTTCCAGCACCTTGCGGACCTTTCCCGCCGTGCCATTGACTGAGTCGACGAAGCTGTGTAGTACGGCGGTGTACATCTCCCGGTTCGGCACCTCCCCTCTGTCTTTAATCAAGACCCTGCAGATGTTCATGACTTCGTCGAAGTTTCCCTTGGCGCCCTCGGCCCGCACATGTTCGTAGAGGATGTAGGTCGGGAGCTGGGCGAGCGGAGGTCTATCTCGTGAAGTGTGCGGAGGGAAGGCGCGAGGCTTTTCTGCAAAGGACCGGAAGCCGTTCAGGGCAGCCCCGGGCTGCGAGAAGAAAGTGTCGTTCGCAGCTGAGGGTGCGCTGGAGTGGTTGTAGGTACGCAGTTGACGGCCGCAGTGGGCTTTGTCGCCTTTTCGCGATGCATTGCGCTGTAGCAGTCTAGCTCCTGCTCTTGCAATGGACGGTGTCGTTCCGGCATTCGACGGAAACCCTGGACAAAGGCATCGCCACAGGCCGTCGTTCACGAAAGGGCGGGGTGGCATTGGCGTGGGTGATGTGCACTGCCAAAGTTTCAATGCGCGCAGCGTAACATGTTGCGTCTGTGCGCGCGCCTCGGTTCAACATGTCTACTTGCGACTTGTGCATCACCATAAGCGAAGCATGGGTAAGAGCTTAGTTTGTAATTATATTCACATATGCACTTTCCAAATGCTTTTCCTATCCCGTGCCAAGCCGCAAAAAGGGTATATGCGCCCAAATACCAACACGTCTCATGCAAAGCCTATGCCCTTCCGTACCGTATTATGTAGAAACAACGTCAAGCGTAGCGTTTCTTCCCATCCCTAAATACCTAAAGTCCGTCGTAATCCCCACCAACACGTGCTCACCTCCTCACGACTTGTTCTGAAAGAAGTTCAAGAACCTGCAGCTGTCAGTCATTGTTCCTGTAGGAATAGGAGCATCACATACCTTTGGCGATATTACTTCCTGGTTCACCAAGTGCTTGCTCATGATCTTGACAACCTCCATTTGCTCCTCGTAGGTGAGTCCGGTGATGGCTGCTTCAATCACTCCACCGACTGTGGTGTGGTGCACGGCGATGAAGCTCGAGTAGTAGAAGAAGGCGATCGAGCCCATGATGAACTGGCAGTCCATGCGGTCAGTCATTCCACCGTGACCGGGGATTGAGTCTCCAAAATCCTTGATCTTGAAGGTGCGCTTCAGGCCAGAAGCGAAGAAGCCGCCGAAGGGCGCGATAAGAGACGCAAAGGTTCCGAGCATGATGACGTGGAATTGCACTGGCATAATGTTGAATGTTCGCGGGATGGGGAGACCCTCGGGAAGGAAGGGAACGGTATAGTCGCGCGCGATGAAGACCGGGTTTGGCCTGCATTCGAGGCCGGACCAGATGTTTGCGCCCAGATCATTGACAGGGCAGATGAAGTACTTGTAGTCGCCGAGGAAGTGGACAACGAGCATACCCCAGATAACAGTGAAGAACCAGGCACCGAGGAAGCCCTCCCATGTCTTCTTGGGCGAAATCTGGATGAGGGGTGTCCGTCCAAACGTGATACCGCAGAGGTAGGCAAATATGTCGTTGGTAATGACCATGGACACGGGGAGGATAAACCAGATGAATCCCTCGAAGATGTTGTTGATGACAAAGTGCGCCTGTCCAACGATGAGGAAGAGGGCCATGTGCGTCCAAGCAAACTGGGTGAACTGGAACTTGTAGTGGCCCTTCTGGAGCGAGAAGACGAAGAAGACGAAGCCTGGGGAAATTAGCATAGGTACAAAAAATGGAATTCGTAGACATACCGATTATGTACAGCATGAAGGAGATGAACCTGTGGTGGGTAGCCAAGGGCAGCAGCAGACGGTCGACCATCAGGACGTGCTTGAAGTAGTATATGACACTCTCGCCGTAGAGGAAGTACATGGCGGTGCCGAGGAAGTACCAGTTCAGCGACTTGGTGAAGCGCAGGCTGCGGGCCTTGCTGGGCACATTTGCGATTGCGATGACCTCCTTAAAGGATATGACCTGGACTGCCGTGACGATGATGATGATGAAGAGATGGCCGGCGCCGAGGGCCCAGAAGAAGCCGGCAATCATGACGAGGGTCCATGTGGTGCGCGTTATGAAGTTGGCCTTCTTCTTCTCGTACTCGGTCTGGGGGGGCTGTTCGGAGGCCTGGCGCTGTCAGCTGGGGAGACGTGGGCAGAGGACTGCCAACGTACGGGAGGGGCCGTCTCTTCTTTGATAGTCGGACTGCCCGGGTCGCTGTACTCGGACATGCTCTGCGAGGGTCTCCGCGCCCTGCCGTTGCTGGCGCTGCGGACCTGGTGGTTGAACTTGACGTCCTTTCTCGGGCGCGCCATGGTGAAGGAGGAGAGGGCGGTTGCGCCTGGTATCCTTGGGGGTATAGGGGCAGCCGGGGCGAGGCCGGAGGGGAAGGCGCGATGGGTGAGGGCGGGGTGGGTGAAGGAGGTGGTGTTGGCGGCAGGCTCGACTGGGCCAAGTAGTGAAATTGGCGGACAAGTAACCACGGGCAGCTTGCGTCATGGCACCGCCGCTTAGCTTAGCGACCCTGCAGCCTGCATGTGAATTTCCCTAGCACCCAAACACGCCTGCGCCAACACGCCAACAACGCGTCCATGCGCCCCGCATCGCGACCGCTTTGGGACATGCTCACGCGCAGGCCCGCTGGTAGATGGACCGACAATGGCTGACGACGACTTCGACGACTTTTCTGACGATGACCTCGACGACCTTCCCGCCGACGCCCTGCAGCATCTCGAGGCGAGCGCCATCCGCGCGACACAGCACCAGCCCGACACGGAGCCAGAGTCCGACTACGGCCCCGACGATGGCGACGAGGTAGTCAATCTGGACGATGCGCATAGTCCGCCGCCTCTATATGCGCTGGACGAGGAGGGCTACGATAGTCACATCGATGACAACATCAACGACATCATCGAGCATTGCCATTATGACCAGATGGAAGTGGAGGAGCAGCCACGCAGGTCTCAGGCTGACCCCAATGCGCTGCTCCAACGCATCAAGAAGGTGCGACACGTCCACCTCAGTCTGTAGACGCCCCGCTGATCATCGCAGTTAGAGCAAGACAAGGCGCGCGAGAAGCGAGAAGCCGAGGAGCTGAAGGGGAAGCTGCAGACCAAGGCGGGCGAGGCCGATACCCTTCGAAGGCGCTACGATGCCGAAAACCGCAAACACGAGCGCCAGCTGGCGGACCAGCAGCAGTCGCACAGCACCGAGCTGGCCAAGCTGCGTACCGAGATGGAGAAGCTGCGGCGCGAGAAGGAGTCGGTGCAGACGGACAACATGTTCAACCAGCACGAGGCGCGAGAGGCTGTCATGACCCGACGGCCTGGGAGAACCATGCCCTCACGACCAAAGTCAGGTGCGCAGGCAATCAGCCCAGCTGGCACACCTAAGAGGGGGCAGAAGACGAGAGGTCCGCTGGGCGATGGTTTTGACGACGACGACGTTGTCATGGCATCACCGTCAAAGTACCGCGAGAGGCAGAAGACGGCGACGCCAAAGCAAGCCGGCAAGCGGAAGCGGCAGGCTATCGACCAGAGCCCCATACCACTGCCTGCGCTGCAGCTGAGTGAACCGCGAACTCGGCCCAGAGAGACAGAGCCAGCGCCAGCCGTGGGACCTGTCATAGACGCCGCACTGCTCGAGCACTTTCGACGCGACGACCGCCGATTCACCCTCCTGCACCGCCTGCTGTCACATCCATCATCAAATGGCACCGATCGCGTCCTCGAAGCACTCACGTCGCATGCTTTCCCGTCCAAGCCATCCAAGAAACTATCTTCGATCGTGTATGATGCCCTGGCGAAGATCAATACATCTGATGTGCACGAGCTAGCAGTACAGATATGTCACATCTTCCTCGACCTGTGGAAACGGTGTCAGTCCGAGAAGTACTACGCTCCGACATCTCTGATACTCGATGCGCTGCACTTCATTCTCGCGTGTGAGCCCATCGAGACTGCGGTCAAGATCACCGAGCGCGTAGTACCGCTCATCATCGCTTTTGTCGATCTCGTGGCGGACCCTATTTCAAAAGCAGCAAAGGGAGGTGAAAAGGCAGTTGCGGATCTCTACTCCCCGAAGCAGCAAGAGATTGCATCTCACATCGATGTTGAAGACTGTCTTGAGTTGCTGTATCTAATCGCCAGCAGCTGTGTGTCCTCAATAGATTCCACAGCAATAGCTCGTCTATGGCAAGCGATTCCTTCAAGCTTCGCCATCATGCTCCTCGTCAAAGAGCAGCCACATGCCCAAATCACGCTCATGTTGCGCATACTTGGCACCTCTGCACTATCCACCTCAATAGGGCCCATAACATTCGCAGACTCCGCCCAAGACAACCAAGCAAGTAACGAAGACGCCCTGGTCCATCGTCTCACCAACCTCTTCACCGAGCTGCCTAAGCCCGTCCCAGATCCTTCGGAGTCTTCCGATGAAGCTCCAGCTATCTCCGAAGCGGACCTGTGGGATCTCCGCCTACTCGTCATCTCGGTCCTGACGCAGTTCTCTATCCCTGAATACGGCTCTAGTCGTCTAGCCCAGAACGGCCTCTGCATTGGCCGGCTGATCAAGTACCTCGACCATTGCGTGACGAGTCTTTATCGACATCCCATCGCACCAACTCAAGACCGGAAAGTCGATTCAATTAACGCCACCATGAAGTTGATTTATCACGTCGCCACGACGAATGCCGATTTCGACATCAAGAGCAAGTTGGTCAATACGTTAGGCGGACATCATGCCTATCTCGTCGCACTGACGCGACTGGCGTTCAGTGAGGGCTTAGTGTTAGAAGCGGGAATCGAAGATGAAGTCGTAAACATGGCGCACGACATCTTAGACGAGGGACTGAGTATGGAAGAGGGAGATGCTTTCGGCAAGGTGTTCAGCAGTGGAAGCACTGTCTAGACATGTCCAGTGTTTTTCTCAAGAAGGAGATCATCAGCGCAAGCGGCTTGGGCAATGGCTCTGATTTCAACTTGCACATTTTTCCGCAAGATGACCCCACTTCTGAGCTCAAGGACGATACCACTTTAATTCCGCGCTCATCCACAATCATGTAGAATGACATACGGATATCAACATCTTGTGTAATCACTAGTCTGGCTCGCATTGCTATGCATTGCTATAACTTGGGATGATATGCATTGGCCGGCGTTTAAAACATATCAATCACACTCTTACCCAGTCACCAACTATCCATCCCTACACCCGTCCCCCAATCCACCCCAAAACCCTCTCCAAAACCTCCTCCCCACACTCATCATTCAACAACTCATGCCTCCCCCCTCCAACCACCTCAAACACCTTCTCCCCTGTCCCTGTCCCTATCCCAGCCACAAACTTCTCACTCCCCCTCCAATCACAATACGCATCCTCATCCCCATGCACCACCAACGTCGCCACTGTCCACTCCCGCATCTTCGCTCTAACACTGTCTGCAACATCCACGGCCGTCGCGGCCGTTAAGAAACATATCGGTTTCTTGGAATATAGGGGATCGGCCAGGTATTTGTCTATCTCGACCGCACGGCGTGTGAGACTGGAGATGGGTACGGAGCGGCCGGGGATGGAAACTGTGGGTAGGGTGTGGGCTAAGATCCCGATGGCTAGACGAGCGGAGGAGGGGAAGGGACCGGGGAATGCGGGACTCGTCAGTACCACCCCTTCAATGCCCTCTGGATCTTCCACCACACTCCCCGCGGTTATTAATCCGCCCAGTGAATGCCCAAACAGTACAACCGGTCTTCCCCCTCCTTGTTCAACAGCATACCGTCGTAGTGCGAGGTGGTCGGCTACGGCTTTTCCTACGTGGACGACGGCGCGGGGATGGCCGGGGGATTTGCCGTGGCCGTGCAGGTCGAGGGCGTAGATTGTGTAGGAAGCGGCGAGGAAGTGCGTGATTAGCGTGGAGTGGGATGTTAGGTAGCGGAGGGAGTATTCTGCGTAGCCGTGTTGGAGGATTATTGTTGCGATGGGTGATGAGGGAAGGGAGGGGGTCCAGATGTGGAAGGTTGTGCCGGAGGGGAGGGTGTGGGTTTTGTGGTTTAGGTTGTGGTTCGGGTCGGGCGTTGGGGTTGTGTGTATCGGTGGTTGTGTGTGTTGTTTGCGGGAGAGGGATGGGACGTTCAGCATCTTGACAGCTGAAACCAATATAAGATATCTCAGAGTACCAGTGGTACGGTCCGAGACCGTTCTGTGAATACACTTGGTGCTTTGTTCGAAGAGGCTCTTGGTCGTCTTAGACTTGCGTGTTTAGCGCTGATAACGTTGCGCAGACCACTAAACAACATGAAAGCTTATAAGTCGCGATGAAGAGCAAGTTTAACACATAGCGCACCCGTAGAGACGTATCAGCTTCCAGAACTCGCGGATTGAAATGTGAGATTCAAAAGGTTAGTGCTGTTGTTCACTGAGACACTGAGGTGGATGCGTTTAGCTGCGCTATGGGGAAAGAGCAGGCCATCGTCGTTCGATATCGGGAGACATGACTCTTCCAGTACGACCTAGTCATGCTTTGAACAATGACTTCCAAGGTGCTTCTTCGATCGCTGATGGAATGTCGTGTTGAAGTGTGGAGGTCCATACCTCGCAGCCCACCTGGGCACGTGGGGAGGGGCGCGGTAACAGTTTTGGGCCTAGTCTGCGGGGCGTACCTGGCACCTCCTCGCCGCTGCATCTCTATCCCATCGCATCATTATCCAGCATGTGGAAGATCATCTACATTACACATCTCGTTTCGATATCATGAGAATGAACGCACTGGTCGCTTTCCGTAGTGTACCGTGCTCCGCTCTGCGCTATCAACACCGATCACAAGATTGCGCCATGGCGAGCTGTGATAGGTGTCTGGGCGGCCTTCCTGCATGACTTCATAAGACCTAGTGAACAGAGGTGTGTAAAAGGCGGCCTCAGCCTTCAGCCTCTCAAACCCCTCATTGCGACTCACCCAAATCTGTTGTCCGCATCACTCATGGACTGCACACGAAGGGATCCAAAGCTGCACGCCAAAGTTAACAATGCTGTTTTCTAGGAATTGACACATTACAGCACATCTTGCAGCCAGTCCTTCGTCTTGCCGGCGTACAATGTCTTTCGATCAGCCTCATGATATAGATATCATACCAAGGTACTGCGACAGCCCGGGATCGACCCAGAGACGACGAGCCAACCACACCTTCCGCAACTCTTACGGCTCATCCGCAAAGAGAAGGTCTCGGTTGAGAAACGTGTTAACTTCAAAAGCCTCTGATATCGATATCTCCGACTCATTGTATATCTTCGATTCGATCTACCATACGGTCAAGCGTTACAC